GAACCAGGGCCACCAGTAGCGGAGCACACACACTTAACCACTAAGCCACAGTGCCGGCCCACAATCCTTAGAAGATTATAGTGAGTTTTTTTTAATCAAAGAAATCTAAAAATATTATCTTTTCTAACTGTATTTTTATTTATAGAGTTCAGCTGTACAATTACATTCCACTTCCTCCCAAAAACAGGAAGTAACCCCGATAAATAGATTCAAGGCAAATTCTCAACCAGAAATAAGAAATAGGGTATCTGTCAGATCATACCCTACTTCGTGGGCGAATCCAGCCACATGATTTATTATGTAATTCATTAATAAGAGAGTATTATAGGAAAGGAAGGACAGTTGTTGAGTATCCATCATGTGCCAGGCTTGCTACCCACATTATCTCATTTCACTTCACAACAATACTGTAAGGTGGATAGTATCATGCCCATTCCACAGATGAGCCCACTGTGATTCAGAGAGGTTAGTAGACTTGCCCAAGGTCGCACAGTTAGTAAATGGCAAAGCCAGGGCCAACTCTTGAGCAGATGCTTTTTTTTTTTTTTTAACAATATCAATTTGGCACAGAAACAATGAAATATGGGGACCAAAGTATAGGTAAAATAAAATAAAATAATTTAGAGTCTCCTTGCACCATCCCTCCCCTGAGCAGGAATTCCTGTGGTAGCATCCTCAACAGAGTGGCACCCAGTGATGGTGGCCTCACAGAGCAACTTTGGGAATAGCACCAATAGGATGTTCTCCCTACAGAACTGAAATCTACCTCCTGTAATTTTAAGGAAGGAGGCATTGAAACATTCATGAGGAAGCAGAGAGCATGGACTCCTCTCTGAGATGAGATGATTTAAACTGGACCAAGGATTGTTATCTAAAGGGACTGGAAAGACGTAAACTTCTTGGAGAGTTTGTAAAGGACTGGTACAGGGCATCACAGCATCAGGGTGATCAGGGGATAGTTGAAACTCTTCATTAAAAAAGTTATATTAAAAAATTTCAAAGAGTGCCTTAAGGCTCGTTCAGCTGCTACCTTCCCCATAAAACTTTTCCTTGAAACAGGTCCCCATAAAACACTCCAGGCAGAAGTGCTCACTCCTCCCCTGCCCCCTCCAGTGCTTGGACCCCTCATCATATCACTTTTTCTACCTCTTATTACATGATCCACTTGGATGTCTCATGGTCACCTCAACAGAACCCATTTGAATTCTAGTTAATCTGCTAGTTAATGAATCAATCAGTAGATACAGTTTTAAACATATATTAAAATCTTGTCTTTTAAAAAATGTTTTTATTTGTTCATTCATTTTATTGTGGTAAGAACAGTTAACATGAGATCTACCTTCTTAAAATTTGAAGTGCATAGTACGGTATTGTTAACTATAGGCACAATGTTGTACAGCAAGATCTCTAGAACTTATTCATCTTGCATAAGCAAAACTTTATACCCAGTGAACAACAACTTCCATTTTTCCCCATCTTGGTAAATGGCACCACTTCTCTCTCTCTTTTTTTTTTTTGTGAGGAAGATCAGCCCTGAGCTAACATCTGCCAATCCTCCTCTTTTTTTTTTTGCTGAGGAAGACTGGCCCTGGGCTAACATCCATGCCCATCTTCCTCTACTTTATATATGGGATGCCGCCACAGCATGGCTTGACAAGCAGTGCGTCAGTGTGCGCCTGGGATCCAAACCGGTGAACCCCGGGCTGCTGCAGCGGAGCGCGTGCACTTAACTGCTTGCGCCACCGGGCCGGCCTGGCACCACTTCTCATCAGCTGATCACACTAGACATCCGGAAGTCATTCTTGATTCCTTCCTCAGCTTCACTACCTGTGATTCCAAATCTAATCAATCAGCAAGTCCTATTGTTTCTTCCTCCAAAATATATCTTGAATCTGTCCACTTCTGTCCATCTCCACCATCGTTTGTCTCCTGGATGACAAACCAGTCCCCAACCAGTCCCCAACCTCTACTCTTGCCCTGACCCACCTAGAATGAATTCACTCCGAAGATGATAAATTAGGTCATAGGCCTTGCCTGATTTGGACCCCCTCCCTCTCCAGTCTCATCTCACCTGGGGTCACACTCCCCTCAGCTGACCTCCAGCCATACCAGCATCCTATTAGGTCCTTCCCAACGAGCCAAGTTCTTTCCCAAGTTGGAGCCCCTGCACAGGCTATTGTCCCTTGACTGGAGCCCTCTTTCCCTGTCTCTTCACATAGCTATCTCCTTCTTATCCTTCAGGGCTCTACTTAAGTGTCATCCCCTCTGACAGGCCTTCCCTAACTACCTGTCTAAGTAGATCCCTCCCTCAACCCCTGCTTCTCTCCATCACTGTGTCGGTTTCTTTTTCTTTATAACAATCAACACAGTTTGTGGTTATGAACTTATTTGTTTGGGTACTTGGGTTTTGCATCTCCCCAACTAGATTATAAACTCCACCAGGGCAGGAACTAGTGTATATCCAGGGCTTGGCACATCTAGGATATCATTGCATATTTGATGAGTGAATCAATGATTAATGAATTTGTGTTCATGGCTCATATACCCTCCTGGGTTGGGGACAAGATCATGTCTTAGGCATCAAGGAAACCCTGGGAGCACCCAACACAATTACTTGCACAGAGTAGGTACTCAGATACCTATTAATCTGACCTAAATGAAGATGATACAGTTTTATAATCTATCAAAACAGTTCTACAGGGCAATGTAATCACTGTAACAGATTGCAGGAAACCTGTGCATTTACTTGGAAGACAGGATGTGGGGAGATTTTATATGTATCTGTGGGACAGAAGCTCAGGAAATGAAGACTTGGGGTTTTTCTTTTTTTTTTTTTTTTTAAAGATTTTATTTATTTATTTTTTTCCCCCAAAGCCCCAGTGGATAGTTGTGTGTCATAGCTGCACATCCTTCTAGTTGCTGTATGTGGGACGCGGCCTCAGCATGGCCAGAGAAGCAGCGCGTCGGTGCGAGCCCGGGATCCGAACCCGGGTCGCCAGCAGTGGAGCGCGCTCACTTAACCACCAAGCCACGGGGCCGGCCCGACTTGGGGTTTTTCAATCAGTTGATTTAAGGCTTCAGCCTTTAAGTTCATAAACCATTGAAGACTGGGCTTATTTCTTACAGGAATGTAGGCCCCTGTTATTCGAACAGAGGAACTCCACACCAATGGTGGGTCTTGCCATCTTTTCTCACACTGAATCTCAGTGATTTGAAGGGCAGTCAGATATTTTCCCTGCCAATTAAATGCCTACCCTCCTTACCTATTCCATCCACCATGGCCTGAGATTCTCATCCAGAGTTAAAATCAGACAATGTGAGGGTCATACTGCCTATCTTCTCAATTCATATTTTAATAATTGAGGACTGGAGATATATCTAAGGTATATCCAAATGGAATATCCAAAGTTGCACAGGAAGCTAGAGGGACACCAGTTCCCTGATGCGCATTCCATTGCTCCTTCAGCAATACCAGGCTGCCCAGTCCAGCAAAAGTCTGACCACCAGAGACTGTTATCAGCTAGGGTACTGCCTTCACATTATCCACTACAGGGGCCGGCCCAGTGGCATAGCAGTTAAGTTTGCGTGTTCCACTCAGGTGGCACAGCGTTCGCCAGTTCGGATCCTGGGTGCGGACCTACTCACCGCACATCAAGCCAAGCCAAGTCCCACACAGAAGAGCTACAACTCTACAACTATGATGTACAACTATGTACTGGGGCTTTGGGAAGAAAAAAGAAAAAAAAAGAGGAAGATTGGCAACAGATGTTAGCGCAGGGCCAATCTTCCTCAAAAAACAAAAATTATCCACTATATCGCAGGACCACGTTTGCAGAGTTTTCCCCTTTCTTCACATTTCTTTTACAATTATGGCTTTTATTCAGTTTGTGCTCAAAATTGTCGTATGTTGGTTCTAATCCAGAGTCCATGGCATCCCCTAAAGCCTTATGCAGAAACTTGCATCTGCAGTCTCTTGAGTACTCAAGTATCCATCATTATCATTAGATTGTTAAAACAGTTATAACCTAAAAAGCTAAGAACCATTGACCTCTAGTAGAGGCGTCCAATAGAACTTTCTGTAATGATGGAAATGTTCTATGTCTGTGTTGTCTAATACAGCAGCCACCAGCCACCTGTGGCCAATGAGAACTTGAAATGTGATTAATGAGACTGAGGAACTGTATTTTTCATTTCATCTGATTTTAATTAATTTGAGTTTAAATTTAAACAACCACACTTGCCTAGTGGCTACCATAGTGGAGAGCACAGACCTAGAAAATCACTTAAAGAAATTTGATCAGTAAGTTAGGGCTCCTATGTTTAGAAGTCTCCAGGTACGATGTACACATATTACCTGGAAACCCTCTCTCTCTCTCCCCAGAGTCCATTATCAAGATCACCTTCATCGATGAGGCCGTTAATGCTAGGTTGTGAGAGGCTTGGGGTGGGAAGATGGGAGAGAAAAATATAGCGGTAATAAGATGTGGTTGGGCAGGAGGAATGCTGGCCAATGGTCACTGCAAAGAGAAGAAGGTGGAAAAAGCCTAAGGCTTTCAAGACTCTTGCCATATGGTCCAACACTGATTCTAAGACTTCTTACTTGAGTCTTCAGAGAAAAAGTCATTTTTGCATCCATGATGAGAATTCAAGTAAAGCATCTAGAAAAGATCTCAGCAATTTTCCAAATTGTTGCTATAAGACTTTTTGTCTAAGGCAATCAGCTATTATCTGAAACAGCCAAAAGTCTTTGGGAGAGAAAGCGAAAAAGAATGATCAAGAATAAGGATCTCACTGACATACTTTCCAGGCTCTTGAGTGAGTGTTCGCAAGGGGAATGGAGAGCCCATCACAGAACAGGAAAGAATCTCACAAATCACAGAGCCCCCGAGGAACGAGCACCTTACTTACCGACAAATATGAAGTCGAAATGTTGACTGTATTTTGAACAGTTAGAAACTTGGGCTTTGCATTTGTAGGGGCCCAAATCCTGGGGTTCTGAAATGCTTATGTTAAAAATCATGGGTTCACCTTTTCTCTGCTGGTTTATCAGGTGTTTCTTACCCTGAAACAAATCATAGGTGATCTGTAGTGATTTGTTCTCATTGGAACAAATTAGAGATACATTTTGACCCTTCATGATTGCATCAGTTTTTGAGGACAACTTCGGAGAAAGGAATTCTGGAAAACAAAATAACACAAGGGAAAGTCCTTGTTAACGTCCCTTGATAATAACAGCGGTTGTCTAGCCACATTTTGTGGGTCAAGGTGGTGGAGACATGGTTCCCGGTGAACTTTCCAAGTGGGAGCGTTTCTTGCCTGCATAGCCGGGCTGACCAGTGTGTGAGGAAGCCTCAGCGCCCATAGAGGCCCCTCCCAGTGAGAGATGGGTGGCTTTGACAAGCTCTTTTGTGCCTGCTCCCTCTCCTGCCAGTGAGGGCCTGAAGTGGACTCTCTCGCTCTCTTTTTTTTTTTTTTTTGCTGTGTCCAGAAAACATAGTTGTTTTATTTTATTTATTTTCATATATATTTTTTATTGAAGTATAGTTGACATACAGTATTATGTTAATTTCAGGTATAAAACATAGTGATTCAACATTTATGTACATTGTGAAATTATCACCACAATAAGTCTAGTAACCATCTGTCACCACACAAAGTTATTACAATATTATTGACTGTATTCCCCATGCTGTATATTACATCCCCATGACTTATTTTATAACTGGGAGTTTGTATGAAATGGACTCTCTTAAGACTGGCTATGCTGACTTAGAAATATTAAAGTTCCAGGTTCTATGACCAAACATTATGTCTGGTGGCTTGTTTTGTCTTTTATTTATTTTGAATTTTTTGTTTGGGGAAATTTAAAACATAACAGTACAGAAGAGAGCATAGTGATCCCCTATAGACCTATTATCCCTGCTTCAACAATTATGAACTTGTGGTGGGTCCTGTTTCAGTTGCCCCCACTCCCTTCCATTATTTTAGAGCAAATCCCAGACCGCGTACTATTTCATCCATAAATTTCAGTATTGAGAAAGAGAAAAGCAGCCCCTGCCAGCTGGGAACTGACCTGGCAAGGATCTGACCTGTCACTCACAGCTAGAACACCAATATCAGACAAGGCCACTCTATGACCATCTTGGATGGAGACAAAAAGAAGTTGACTCTGTAATCATGTCTGAACCCAGGTAAAGACACGAACATTGTCCAAACCACAAAAATGGGCAAACATCCCCTTAAACTGGCTCAGATGAGTGACTGCTGTTTCTTCATCAGTCAGAGCTTTAGCCTTGCTCTGTTCTTCTAGGCTTTTAGTTAAGAATTATTAGGACACCCAATCATATCATTATTCCCACTTCCTAAAAGAATCCAATCCTGAGTAAAGCCTGCAGCTTTGAATCTTCCTCCAAATCACCTAACATAAGTCCAAATCTTATCATAAGTCCCTTCGAACACCCTCTTGCTGAGATGTCCCATGGTTCCAATGGTATGCATTCTCTCTCTTTGCCACAAGTCAATAAACCCAACGTTGTTCAACCACGTGTGTCCCTGTGATCTTTGGAAGACATTGATAGCTTGTATCTCTAAAAGACAGGGACTCTTGTGTAAACATAACAATACCATTATCACACCTAAATATTAACAATATTTTTAAAATGTCATGAAATATCTAAGTGTTCAAATTTCCCCAATTGTCTGATCTTTTTATGATCTAAAATGGTCCCTTGTAATTACTTGATATGTTTCTTATGTCTTTTTAAATCTATAGGCCTTTCTATCTCTTTTTTTCCCTGTAATTGGTTTGTTGAAGTTGTTTATTTTGCGGTGTTCCATGGTCTGGATTTTATTGGTCACATTCCCATGGTTTCCTGTACCATGCTCTTCTGTCCCCTGTCCAGAAGCTTGATGAAATTCAGATTAGTTTTTATTTAGCAAGAATGCATCATAGGGGTTAGTGTGTACTTCCAATAGGAGGCACATAATGTCTGGTTATCTCTTTTTGTTTCTTAGTAGGCTTTGATAATAATCACTCAGAAGCATTATTTCCTTAGAGGTTGCAAAATGGTGATATACTAATTCTATTATTCTATCTTGATTTATTATCCGAAATAGTTCTATAAAGAGAAACTTGCCCTTGTCAACTCTTTGGTTACACTGAGGCACAATTTGCATAGAAAAAGCAGGATAAATGCTTGGTTCTTTCCCTTTATTGACCAGTTTTGAAAATAATAAATTTGTTTCCCAGCATCTTAAAACAGTGAAATATTTTTCTTTTATTTTTTGTATAAGAATCATTCAGAAGGCATAGATTTAAATACATTTGATGTTTTTCAATACATTACAATTATTATTGTCCCATTTTTTGGCCATGGGAAGCATCTCCAAATAGGCTCCTGAGTCCTTTTGACATGGTCCCAGTAGTCTTTGATAGCTTGTGTGTTTGTATTTTATTATTTAAAAATGCCAAGAGAAAAAATAACTATCAGAAAATCTAATACAAAAAAAATTATAAAAGAATTAGGAGAAATATAGGGAAATATTTCTATATCACTTGGTAGGAAAAGGTCTTCCAAAGAAGACACACAAATTAAGAGCCATAAAGACAAGATTGAAAAAATTGACTACTCTAAAACTTTAACCTTCTCTATGGCAAAATTAAGACAAGTGACGGCCTAAAGAAAATACTTAAAATATAAATGAAAGCAAAGGATTCTTTTTGTATACGTAAACAATGGCAAATCAATAAGAAAAAGACAAACAGGCAAATAATATGAATAGATAATTCTCAGAAGAAGAAATGCAAGTGGCCATTAAATAGCACTAGGGGCAAGGGATGCCTTGGGTGGAGGAGGGATTTAGACCCCTCAAAAATGCCGTCAACCCCCTCCCACTCTTTGATCTGGACAGTTAACATTTTCTCAGTCTTATGTAAGCTCAGCTTCAAGATAAGCCCTCTCTTCTCTCTCCAACCAGATAGTCATCCCTAAATTTCCTTTCTGTGGGAGTACTGGAGCTTTCCTGGCCAATAAATATGAAAAACAAACCTCAACCTCACAAATGATGAGGCAATTGCAAATTAAAACAACGTTGAGATATTTTTTACTCATCAGGCTGGCACAAATTTAAAAACTGATGGTATCCACTGTTGGAAAGGAGGTGGGAAACTCACACCTACCTATGTGAGTGGTCACTGTTGGCGACCATGTACAGGTTCAGCATACTGGGAGGGCAACTTAGCAGTATTGGTAACAATTCAAATGTACATCCCTTTTTTTTTATTTTTAATAAATTTTTTTTAAATAATTTTATTTATTTATTTTTCCCCCAAAGCCCCAGTAGATAGTTGTATATCATAGTTGCACATCCTTCTAGTTGCTGTATGTGGGATGCGGCCTCAGCACGGCCGGAGAAGCGGTGCGCCGGTGTGCGCCTGGAATCCGAACCCGGGCTGATAGCAGCGGAGCGCACGCACTTAACCGCTAAGCCATGGGGCCAGCCCATGTACGTACCCTTTGATTTGGCAATTTCACTTCTAGGACTTTATCTTACAGAGATGCTTTCAGATTTTCATGTGTCCACAAAGGGTGTTTTGTACAAGGATGTTTATTGCAACATTGTTTATATTATAAAACAAAATGGAACAATCAATAGGGGGATGGTTATACGAGTTACCGCTGAGTCATATTATGAAATGCCATGCAGCTGTTGAAAAAAAGGAGCTAAATCTACATCTACTCCTTAGAAAGATGTCTGTGATATATTGTTAATTAATAAAAGGACAAGTCACAGAAGAGTTTGTTGACTAGAATATTGAAAAGAAAATGACTGTTAATAGTGGTTGCTTCCAGAAGTGGAGAGGGGAGAGGGATTGGAGTGTGTGTAACAGAGCTGTTACATTTTGTATAGTAATGACAACAACCTGGGCTAGCATTTATCGATGGGTCCCCATACACCAGGCACTGTGCAGAGGGACATGCCTTGTCTCACTCAGTCCTCACGACAACCCTCCCAGGTAGGTGCTTTTATTAGCCCCACTTCATAGAGGAAAGAAATTAAGCTTAACGTGGTTGTCTCAGGTGCCCAAGCTGCCAGCTGGAAAACGGTAGAACCAGGATTAAGACCACAAGCCTGGTTAGTCTAGCTCTATGACAATAAACTGCCTCCTAATATGTATTTTTAGTGTTGCTTGAATTATTTTACGATTGTGTGTTGATTTTCTAATTGAAAAACAACAGAGAAAGAAACACTTCAATGTAAAAACAATCTCAATATTTTGTCTCTGAGTCTCCGGAAAGATGTTCCAACTCCCTCCCTAGAATCATTTCATTATAAACAGCAGGTAATGGAAAAGACTTTTACTCTTCTGTTGTTCATCTAAAAGCATAGAAAAACTTATTCATGAACGATCATGTTTAAAGCTGATCATCTCACTATTTTGGTGAAAACGGTTTTAGCACAAGAGAGAAGTAAATGAAACTTACCGTTTGTTTTTTTCATGGTCTCACAATCCAGTGCAGCCTTTTGAACTGAAAGAGAGAAAAGGAACACAAGAAAACTCTTTTTCCACATCACGTTTTGGTTTGGAGATTCAAACTTCAAACTGGTAAGTGAGCCTTATACGTGAGCAAAGAAAAAACGCCCCCAAAGAACAGTTTGTTCAAGTGGCTTCACATTCTCCCAAATGAAAGCAGAAAGGGGGGCAAGGAAGCCCAGTGGAACCTAAGCATTGAGTCATTTAGAGAACTTCCTCCTTTTTGACCAAGTTAAAGAAATAGGAGTTATCTGCACAAGCTTGACACAACGTGACTGGTTGGTTTGACCAGACTGTGTTCCTCAGTGAGTTCTTGTAAGAAGAGAGAGATGTGTAGGGAGCCCCTAACCCCGGCTGGCTGGGAAGATGGACAGTGGGGAAAACAAAGGGGAAACTATGACTGTGATATTGTCTTTGTGTAAACCCACCTGGTCATCTCTCTCTGGATTTGGCCCATATCAGAAGGAATTTAATGGAAGTTTGGATTAGTCTTAGGAAGTAAATATTGACTGTCTCGAGCAGACGCGCACAAACATGGCATCAGAAATACCTGATTGTGCATGCCATTTGCAACAATGCGGATGGACCTTGAGGGTATTGTGTTAAGTGAAATAAGCCAAACAGAGAAAGACAAACACCCTATGATTTCACTCATATGTGGAAGACAAACAAATACACAGATAAAGAGAATAGATTAGTGGTTACCAAAGGGGAAGGGGGCAAGGGGGTGGGCAAAAGGGGTAAAGGGGCACATATGTATGGTGATGGACAAAAACCAGACTATTGGTGGTGAGCACGATGCAGTCTATACAGAAACTGGTATATAATAATGTACACCTGAAATTACACAGTGTTATAAAGCAATATGACCTCAATAAAATAATTGAAAAATAAAAGAAATACCTCATTGTGAAATATGCTGATTCCTAGGCCCCACCTCAGACTTACGGGGGATGAAACCTGGGACTCTGAATTTTAACAAGGGCCTCAGCAGTCTTAGAGTCTCTAAATTACAACCTGGAGAGGTTTGTGATTCACTTCTGCCCGATTCAGAATTCTCCAGGTTCTGTGAAGTGTACGTAAAAGTAAAGCCACACAGTAAGTACATACTTATCAATAGCTACTTTAAACGTCAATGGACTAAATGCTCCAATTAAAAGGCATAGGGTGGCTGACTGGATAAAAAAACA